AAGGAAGGGGGCTCCTCAGACCTGCCTTGCCTGTGAAAGCTCACTACCCAAGTCTGCTTGTTTGGGCATCACTTCTCACTCCCATTCCCTATCCATAGCAAACCTCTGCCAAGCCCCACCTCACCTGCTCTCCAAGAGCCAAAAAACAAAACACCACAAAACAAAAAACTCCTTACCTCCCCCTCACAGTCTCCTAACCTCCTTATAGTACTGCCCTGCTCAGCTCAGCCCTCCCTTCATTTTATTTCCAGCTCCCGGGGGAAGCCCCTCCCCTGGCCTTCAGTGCCAGCTGGGGAAAAGAGCACGGGGAGTGAGTGTACAGCTTTCTCCCTTGGGATTTCAGGCCAATCTAACTTCCAGAAAATGCCCCAAAGGAGGGCAGGAGGCATGTTACGACAGCTTTGGGACAGGGTCTGGCCCAGGACATGGCACCAGGCACAGAGGGCACAGAAATCAGGCCCACGTGGGTTGTGGCTCCAGCACTGCCCGCGTTAGCTGTCTGAGTGCAGACAAATTGCCTTATGCCTGTGCACTCCAATTTCTCTCCCTGTACTACAAGGAATGATGATTCCTGTGTCAAAGGATTGAGTGAGGATTTGTGATAATAAAAGTAAAGGGTGCCCTGGCTGGTTTGGCTTAGTGGATAGAGCATCGGTCTGCGGACTGAAGGGTCCCGGGTTCGATTCTGATCAAGGGTACATGCCCTGATTGCAGGCTCGGTCCCTGTGGGGGGCTTGTAGGAGGCAGCCAATCAATGATTCTCTCTCATCATTGATGTTTCTATCTCTCTCCTCCCTTCCTCTCTGAAATCAATAAAAATATTTAAAGAAATAAAAGTAAAGGGCTTTGCAACAAAGACACTTAATAGATAGAATATTGGTGTTATTAATGATATAATTATTTAATAATAGCAGAGATGAAGACTAGCAGACTAGCTGAAATGTGTAGTGATTTAGAGGATAAGATCTATGACCCATCAATTCTACGCCTAGATAGATAGATAGATAGATAGAAAGATAGATAGATAGATGTGCATATATATAGTACCCAAGAGACATAAAGACATATATCCATAAAAAAATTATACATGAGTGTTCATAGCATTATTCACAATAGCCAAAAATTTGAAACAACCCAAGTGTTCATCAATTGATGAATGAGTAAAAAAAAAAATGTGGTATATCCGTAAATAGAATATTATTTGTCAATAAAAAGGATAGATGCTATTACATGGATGAACTTTAAAAAAACATGCAGAGTGAAAGAAGCCATTCACAGCAAATCACATGTATATTTTCATGATTCCACTTGTATGAAATATCCACAACAGGCAAAACTATAAAGGTAGAAAATATATTAGTGGTTGCTTAGGGCTGGGGCTGGGTAATGGGAGAGCAGTAGATAAGGGGTTTCTTTCAGAGGAGACAAAAATGTTATAATCCATTAATCTAATCATAACTTATTTTGGAGATGGTTGCACAACCCTTTAAGTGTACTAAAACCCATTGAATTGTATACTTAAATGGGAGAATTGAATAGTATGTAAATTATATCTCAATAATGCAGTTTTTAAAAAAGGAGTCCAGCTCAGTGTGGCTCAGTGGTTGAATGTTGACCCATGAACAGGGGGTGCCTGGTTCGATTCCCAGTCAGGCACATGCCTGGGTTGCAGGCTCAATCCCTAGTAGGGAGTGTGTGGGAGGCAGCCAATCCATGTCTCTCTCATTGATGTTTCTATCTCTATATCCCTCTCCCTCTCTCTACAATCAATAAAAGCATTTAAAAAAAAAAAAAAAGGAAAAAAAGTCCTAGTCTTGGCCGGTTTTCTCAGTGGTTAGAGTTCAGCCCCGTATCCTGAAGGGTCTCAGGTTCGATTCCCAGTCCAAGGCACATACCTGGGTTGCAGGTTCAATCTCTGCCCCTGGTCGGGGCACATGTGGGAGGCAACCAAGTGATATGATGTGTTTCTCTCCCTCTCTCTCCCTGAAAAAACAATGGGAAAAATATCCGCAGGTGAGGATTAACAAATAAATACATACATACATACATACATAAGAATCAAAACTCATCTTTCAGCACAGGGTTTTTCACACTAGTGCATCATAATCACCTGGAGGGTTTGTTAAAATTCAGATTGCTGGCTCCACCCCAGAGTTTCTGACTCAGTATATCTGGGGTGAGGCCTAAGAAAGTGTATTTCTAACAGATTTCTAGGTGACGCTGAAGCTGTGGCTCCTTAGGTACAACACTTTGAAAATCAGCAGTCTAGCCCTAGCTGTGTGATGAAACTCCTCTAAACTTCAGTTTGATCTGACAAATGGGAATTAAAGATACTAGTAACTCCTACCCCTCTGGGTTGTCCTAAAGATTAAATGAGATAATCATGAGATGCATTTGCTGTAGAGCTTAGTACATTTGTCAGGCTCAATAAATAGCTATTATAACTATAACTATTATTATATTATTATTATTTAGACCCAATCCTTCCCTGAAGGAGCTCCCAGGCAACCATCTTTCATTCATTCAACAACTATTTATTAGTCACTTACTATGTGCCAGCCTTTCTAGAGGATGACAATATACCAGGAAACAAGGCGGCCTTGTCTCACACTTCAAGGAGCTGACATTATTGGAGGCGGGGGGAGAACTCTGACCATGAACAAATATGCAAATAAAATAATTTCAGATAATGATGCTCTGGGAAGAAAACAAAACCAGGTGATATGATAACAAGTGGCTGGAGAGCTAGATTGGCCTTGGGGTTAAACGTCTGAGGGGAGGGGAGCTTTCAGCTAAATCCTGACTGGTGAGAAACCAGTCTTTTGAAGCCCTGGAGTGTCTTAGTCCATTTGGGCTGCAATAAATGAATACCATATACTAGCAGCTTATGAACAAGAGAAATTTATTTCTCACAATTCTGGAGCCTGGCAAGTCCAAGATGAAGACACTGGTAGATTTAGGGTCTGGTGAGGACTGACTTCCTGGTTCGTAGCCCTCTTCTCTCTGTGTCCTCCCCATGGTGGAGGAGAGAGGGAGTCTCTTTATAGGGACATTAATCCCACCTCCCGAAAACCCCACCTCCAGATTCCATCACATTGGGATTAGGCTTCAGCAAAACGACTGAGTGGGGGAGACACAAATATTCAGTCTACATATTCTGCCTCAGCCTGTAAGCCAGATTTTGAAGTCCAGTGGGGAAACATTACCCACTCTCCTCAGGCAGAGGAAACATCAAAAGGATTTGAGAAGGGAATGGGCAGGATGAAGAGACAGGAACACACATCACTGAACTTTAAGGCAGACCAAGAGCCAGAAGGAAAGTATAAACAGCCGGTTTGGTTCAGTGGATAGAGCATCGGCCTGTGGACTGAAGGGGTTCTGGGTTCAATTCCAGTCAAGGACATGTCAGGGGCACCTCGGTTGCAGGCTCAATCCCTGACACATCGATGTTTCTCTCTCTGTGTCTCTCCCTCTCCCTTCCACTCTCTCTAAAAATCAATGGACCAATCAGAAAGAAGATATGCACCCCTATGTTCATAGCGGCACAATTCACCATTGCTAAGATTTGGAAATAGCCTAAGTGCCATCAGCAGATGAGTAGATTAAAAAACTGTGGTACATCTACACAATGGAATACTACACTGCAGTAAGAAAGAAGGAATTCTTACTATTTGCAACAGCATGGATGGAACTGGAGAGCATTATGCTACGC